TGTCCAGCCACCAGGATGGCCGACTCACAATTAGGTATATCAGAAGGAGATGAATATTGGTGGGTGTGAGATGGGGGTGGGGGTAAAGATAGGGGCAATATAGGGGTGAAAATGAAAGTGGTGGCTAGAAGTAGGATGGGTGTGAGATACGAGAGTGGATAAAATTGGTTTGGATTTATGGGTGGCTGGAACTGAGGAGGACAAGAGAATGAGAAAAGGGACAAGAGAAATAAAAGAATGTAGGGAGGGGGAAAGAGAGGGGAAATGAAAAAAAAAAGGCACTGATAAAAGAAAAAAAAAAAAGAGACAAAAAGTACAGAAGCATAAATAAAGGAAAATAAATGTTACAAAAATTAAGGGAAAATTTAAAAGAAAAAGAGTGGGGAAAAATTATAAAAAAAAAAAATAAAATGAATTGAAATAAGTGAATGAAAATGAATGAGTTAAAAGAAAAATTGAGGTGACAGAATGAAAAGAAAAAAAAGCTTAAGGAAGAGAAACTCAATGAAGAAATTAAAGAAAAAAAAGAAAGAAAAATGAACAGTCATTGTTTTGTGCTGACAGATTGAAAATTATCTTTTTGTTAGTTCTAATAAACATGTAGATATCAATAGATATAAACCTGGTTTGAGATTAAGAAATCTGAGAAAGTGGAATGAAAGAAAATGAGTAATTTGATAAAATGAAAGAAGGAAACAAGTCAAAAAACAATGAGAACAGAGAAAGGGAGTTAATGAAAAATTGGGTTAAAAAAAAAAAAGAAGATAAATATTTGACAAAAGAGGATAGATATAAAGAATTAATGAGAAAGAAAAACAATTGAGAAAGGTGCCATACAAAAAGTTGTTTCACGGAATGAGGCAAATACTGGAATAATTAAATGGCCAAAATATATGCTTGAGAGAGAAAGAGAGAGAGGGAAGTCTAAAACAAATGTTAAAAAAAAAAAAAAAAAAAAAAAAAATAAATATATATATATATATATATATATATATATATATATATATATACACACACACACAGAAATTCCAAAGCTGTAAACCTGGCAATGCTTCTATATTATACAAAACTGATTGGGAATAGCACCTTTTCCAAATGCTTGCAAAGAAAAGCAAAACTCCTTGTTGTAACTATTACTGAGAGAACTGTACTTGATAAAAGCGTCAAATATATTTCAAGCCTGAACTTCAGAACTTTCAGGCAGTTTGAACTGAATATGCTAAGCATAAAAATAACCATCTATACACACACAAAAAAAATCCCTATCATACACAAACACCAATTCTTGTGTGAAAAACAGATTTTCTGAAAACACCTGGAAAAGTAAAAATTAAAAAATACTTGCTAAAAATACAAATATAACTAGACAATTCCACACGAAAAATTACATCAATAAGCCTGTTCTCAAAGAAATTTAAGCCAAAATTGCAATAGGTTGAAATAAAGAGTATAAAAACTTTCCCTGGGTGAGGATTCAAAATATTTTAGGGGTCTTTAAAATGTATACTTTGGAGGAAATGGTAGGTCTTCCAATGTTGATTTTTCTGCTCTGTACCAAAATAATGTTAATTTCTTTCAGAGATTTTTCTGCATTTTGAGAAAATCCAGTTGACACAGACAAATAACTTAGATTTATATTAGACATTACTATCATGGACATGCCAACATTTATTTTTGTGGGTGGGGGTTAGAGAAACAAAGGAAATGACAAAATCATTTGACTCAGGATTTTCTCTTAAATAAATTTTGGAAAAGTTTTTAATTAAAGTTCCGATTTAATTAAAATTTTCCGACCATCACTAAGAGGGTGATTATCAAGTATCCCCAATGAAATTTGGACATTTGACTAATGGAAATGTTTTAATTTCACTCAATTAAATGCTTGAATTTTATTAATATGGATTCATTATTGTATTATTTTTTATTCAATTACACCCTATATCAATCACTTATCCCAAAAGAATTTTATTTTCCTCCAAAATCTATTTTGGAAAGAGACCACAACTTGATTGTTTTTGTTTAAAACTCGTAAGAAAAACACACCTGCCCTAATGCTGGATTCATCATTTTATTTAGATTTGAAGTGAGATTTGAGAGAAAGAGAGAGAGCCATGGACAGAGAGAGAGACAAAGAGAGAGAGAGAAAGAGCCATGGACAGAGAGAAAGAGAGAGGGACATGGACAGAGAGAAAGAGAGGGGCATGGACAGAGAGAGAGAGAAAGAGAGAGGGACATGGACAGAGAGAGAGAGAGAAAGAGGGACAGAGAGAAAGAGAGAGAGGGACAGAGAGAGAGAGAGAGAGGGAGGAGGGACATGGAGAGAGAGAGAGGGACATGGAGAGAGAGAGAGGGAAGAGAGAGAGGGACATGGAGAGAGGGACATGGACAGAGAGAGAGGGAGAGAGACAGAGGACAGAGAGAGAGAGAGAGGGACATGGACAGAGAGAGAGAGAGGGACATGGACAGAGAGAGAGAGAGAGGGACATGGACAGAGAGAGAGAGAGAGGGACATGGACAGAGAGAGAGAAAGAGTGAGGGACATGGACAGAGAGAGAGAGAAAGAGTGAGGGACATGGACAGAGAGAGAGAGAAAGAGTGAGGGACATGGACAGAGAGAGAGAGAAAGAGTGAGGGACATGGACAGAGAGAAAGAGTGAGGGACATGGACAGAGAGAGAGAGAGAGAGAGAAAGAGTGAGGGACATGGACAGATAGAGAGAGAGAGAGAGAAAGAGTGAGGGACATGGACAGAGAGAGAGAGAGAGAAAGAGAGGGACATGGAGAGAGAGAGAGAAAGAGTGAGGGACATGGACAGAGAGAGAGAGAGAGAAAGAGTGAGGGACATGGACAGAGAGAGAAAGAGTGAGGGACAATGGAATCAGAGAGAGAAAGAGCTAGAGGGAGAGAGAAAGAGAAAGAGAGGAGGGACATGGACAGAGAGACAGAGAGAGAAAGAGTGAGGGACATGGACACTAGAGAGAGAGAGAGAAGAGGAGGGACATGATGAAAGAGAGAGAGAGAGAGAGGGGAAAGGGACATGAGAGACAGAGAGAGAAGAGAGAGAGAGAGAGAGAGAGAGGGACATGGAAAGAGGAGAAACCAGTGAGGGCGAGGGAGGGGAGAGAGAGAAAGAGAGCAAGACTGGAAACAAAGAGAGAGAGAGAGAGAGAGAGAGAGAGAGAGGGACATGGACAGAGAGAGAGATGAGAGAAAGAGGGGGGGACATGGACAGAAGAGAGAGAGAGAGAAGAAAGAGGGAAGGGACAGAGAGAGAGAGAGAGAGAGAGAGAAAGAGAGAGAGGGGAGATGGAGAGAGAGGAGAGGAGAGAGAGAGAGAAGAGAGGGGGACATGGACAGAGAGAGAGAGAGAAAGAGTGAGGGACATGGAGAGAGACAGAGAGAGAGAGATGGAGAGAGAAAGAGAAAGATGAAAAACCAGGGACATGGACAGAGAGAGAGAGAATCAGAAATATTATGGAAGAGAGAGGGATGGAGAGAGAGAGAGAGAGAGATGGACAGAGAGAGAGAGAGAGAGAGAGGGACATGGACAGAGAGAGAGAGAGAGAAAGGGAGAGGAGAGACAGAGAGAGAGAGAGAGAAAGATTAGGGAGGAGAGAGAGAGAGAGAGAGAGAAAGATGATGAGGGACATGGAAAGAGAGAGAGAGAGAGAAAATGAGGGACATGGACTGAGAAATAAAGAGAGAGAGAGAGAGAGAGAGAGAGGGACATGGAGAGAGAGAGAGAGTTAAGGGTAAGAGGGAGGACATGGAGAGACAGAGAGAGAGAGATTATAGAAGAGGGAGATGGACAGAGAGAGAGAGAAATATGAAGAGAGCGAAAGAGAGAGAGAGAGAAAGAGAGCAACATGAGAAAGAGAGAGAGAGAGAGAGAGAGAGAGAGAGGAGAGAGAGAGAAAGAGAGAAGAGTGATGGGACATGGACAGAGAGAGACAAAGTTAAGAGAAAGGGAGAAGGAGAGAGGGAGAGAGAGAGAAAGCAGAAACATGGAAACCAGTGTGAGAGAAAGAGAGGGGAGGGACAGAAATGGACAAGAGAAAGAAAGAGAGAGAGACAGAGACAGAGAGAGAGAGAGAGAGAGAGAGGGAGGATGATGGAGAAGTTAAGAGTGAGGGTGAGAGACAGAGAGAAAGATTGGAGAAGAGGAGAGAGGGGACAGAGAGAGAAAAGAAATATGAGGGACAGTGGACGAAAGAGAGGGGGAGAGAGAGAAAGATTATGAGGGACTGAAAGAGAGAGAGAGAGAGAGAGAGAGGGACATGGAGAGAGAGAGAGAGAAAAGAGAGACAATTATAGAAAGATTATAGAAGAGAGATGGGGATAGAGAGAAAGAGAAATATGATGAAAATGGTGTGAGAGAGAGAGAGGGGAGAGGATCAGAAATATTATGCAAGACTGAGAAATAAAGAGAGAGAGAGAGAGAGAGAGAGAGAGGAGAGATGGAGAGAGAGAGAGAAAGAGTGAGAACATGGACAGAGAGAGAGAGAGAAGTTAATCAGAAAGATTACAGAAGAGAGAGGGAGGAGAGAGAGAAAGCAGAAATATGAGGGAAAATGGACAGAGAAAGAGAGGGGAGAGTATCAGAAATATTATGCAAGACTGAGAAATAAAGAGAGAGAGAGAGAGAGAGAGAGAGAGAGAGAGATGGAGAAGAGGATGGCGAAAGCCGGGGTGAGAGACAAAGTTAATCAGAAAGATTATAGAAAGAGAGAGGGGAGAGAGAGAAAGCAGAAATATGGGGGAATGGACCAGAGAGAGAGAAAGAGAGGGGGGACATGAAACAGAGCAAGACTGAGAACAAAAGAGAGAGAGAGAGAGAGAGAGAGAGAGAGAGAGAGAAAGAGGGAGAAGGAGGATGGCGATGGTGGGGGTGAGAGACAAAGTTAATCAGTGGGATTATGGACAGAGAGAGGGATAGAGAGAGAAAGCAGAAAAGGATGATGAAAACCAGTGTGAGAAAGAGAGGGGAGAGTATCAGAAATA